TTGTTGTTTTTGTTTTGTTTTGTTTTGTTTTTAGGAAAAGAAACTAATTAAAGCTATATGTCTACATCACTACAGGTTTCCCAAAACAAGGACTCCCAGGATGGTTTTATCTATGCATACCAATCATCTCCACTCAGTAGTCAATCAAATAATTCTTAGCAGATCGGGGAAAGCAACACACATTTTAACAGAGATAGCTGTGTTATTAAACCACTGGTTTAAAAGTGGGTTTTTTTTTCTTGTTTTTTTGTGTTTTTTTTATCCTTTTGCCTATTTTGAAATTATCAGCTTTACAAGTTCATGGCTATCGGCTATCTCTTGCAGCATCTCTACCTGCAGAGAAAGGAAGTTACCAAATAAGTTAATTTCCTGAGTCTTGAGAGGAAAAAAAATGTGACAACAAAAAAGTAGCCATGGAAAATGCACAGTGCTGAGCACCGAATAGAAGCTCAATTAATTTGGATTCAACCCAGGAGGATATTATGTTCAGGGAGAGTAAGTTCGGAGAAAAATCCGATTAACGACTGGAACATTTCCCCTGTCCCCCGGGCAAGTCAACCCTATAGAAGCTGAATCCCTGCAGTTCCATAGATACAGTCTACTGGGGATTATCCTTTCTAAATCTGTCCTGGCTGAGATATAAAGATAGAAATGTTTGTGATCTTTTTAAGTATCTGAGATCAAAAAGGAAGCAACATGGAATTACAGAGCCATAAAACATTTCATTCAACTTCACAGAAGTTGCACCGATGTGTACTAACACCTCTAATGAAAAACAGTAGTAGTAGTAATAAGTGTAATAATAACAACTACCATGTAGCAAATGTATTATTTGTATAAGGCAATGTGCTTTACAAAGATGACTTTATTTAATCCCCACGACATCTCTACAAGGTAACACTATTATAAATCCCATTTTATAGACATTGAAACTTAGTTATAGAGAAATTGAATTACTTGCCCAAGTGAAAGAAACTGACTTTGAACCCAGGTGATCTGACTCTAGTTGCCACAGTGTCAAAGGATAATTTGCTTTAGAGATGATGGTGCACATTTGTTTTACATATATTATAGGTTAGTGTGATTTAACCTTTTTTAAAAAACATTACCAATACTCATCTATGAGTCAGATAAGCCTGAATTCTTTTTATTTTATTCTATTTTATTTTTTTATTATGTTATGTTAGTCACCATACATTACATCATTAGTTTTTGATGTAGTGATCCATGATTCATTGTTTGCGTATAACACCCAGTACTCCATGCAGAACGTGTCCTCTTTAATACCCATCACCAGGCTAACCCATCCCCCCACCCCCTCCCCTCTAGAACCCTCAGTTTGTTTCTCAGACTCCACAGTCTCTCATGGTTCATCTCCCCCTCCGATGTCCCCCCCTTCATTCTTCCTTTCCTGCTATCTTCTCAGATGAGCCTGAATTCTAACTCCAACTTAGTTATTGGGTAACCTTGGGCAAGTTAACTGGAACCTCTTTAAGCCTCATTGAGCTCAAATTTTAAATGGATATGGGGCGACTGGGTGGCTCAGTCGTTAAGCGTCTGCCTTCGTCTCAGGTCATGATCCCAGCGTCCTGGGATCGAGCCCTACATCGGGCTCCCTGCTCAGCGGGAAGCCAGCTTCTCCCTCTCCCACTCCCCCTGCTTATGTTCCCTCTCTCGCTGTGTCTCTCTCTGTCAAATAAATAAATAAAATCTTTTAAAAAAAGGGGGGGGGGGCGCCTGGGTGGCTCAGTTGGTTAAGTGGCTGCCTTCGGCTCAGGTCATGATCCCAGGGTTCTGGGATCGAGCCCCACGTCGGGCTCCCTGCTCAGTGGGGAGTCTGCTTCTCCCTCTCCCTCTGCCTGCCTCTCTGCCTACTTGTGCTTTCTCTCTATCTCTCTGTCAAATAAATAAAAAAATCTTTAAAAAAAAATCTTAAATGGATATAATGATGCCTATTTACAGGATGTTGGGTGGGTTTTAAAAGATGTTATGCCAGAAGTCATTAGCAGACCAATACAAGAAAGGCTTAAAAGGTATAAGCAATAATACTATCAATTATTATCAGTATTCATTAAAAAAATCTCTCTCACTACCTTGAAAGATATGTAACGAGAGCATATGCTTGCACACATACTTCACACTTATTTAACACTGAGCTATAAAAATTAATGGTGCCAACGCCAGAGAGCTGACCAGTTCTGGGAAATTGTAAAATGAATGATTGCCTAATTAAACATAGATTTTATGTTCACTGAAGTATGAGATCAATATTTCAGTTTCCTTCTATATTAGGTTTATATCCTATGTATATTCACATAATAGAAGTGAGTTTACTTTGAAAGATGTAACCTTTCCTTTAAAATTACATGGGCGTTGGAATTTTTTGGACAATTACCATGTCAGTGTTGGCATTCTTAGTTGCTTACCAGCCTAAGCTGGAAAAAAAAGTTAATTTTCCCTGAGTAAGTTTTAATTTAATAATGCAATTAAAATCAAAACAAAAGGGAAAATGAAGGATGTAAATCATGGCATATGTATGGCAATGCAGAAAATTCAACAGATTAACACCTCTTACTCAAACATTCTTTTTTTTCTGAACTGTAGATATACCCTTAGGTTTTGCAAAATGACATTTGGGGGCTGTTCTCCAAGCTTCTCTATTTAGGAAAAGTATGACTAGATTCTAAAAAAGAGAGAATATTTCCAAAATTTGAGGTGGCTCATCTCAAGGACATCCTAAAGTTTCATGCCAAAAGCATGTAATAAACATGTAGACTTTGACTTTGTTATATTTATGTGATTCAGTTTTGCATATTCTAGATATCCCATTACCCCTGTGTAGTCTACCCTTCATTCTTACAGAGTAGGGTTAGAAAGAGAAAAGATTTTCTTTTGTGTGTGTGCACAATTTTTATTTAGCCCTATGACCCTGTAAGTCTTCTTTAGTAGGCTTTTTTATATAATTTCCATTTACTTTCTCTAAATGCAGATGAAGAAAGTGGTCCCCTCCAGGCCAGGGTGGTTTGTCTCAAGCCAGAACCTCACTGATAACAAGAAACAGACACTGGTCTTTTCTGGTTCTGAGTTCTTAGGGACTGCTCAAACATCTCAGATTGCAGCAGTGCGACACCATGGGACAATAGAAGCTTTCGCTTTGGAACCTAGGGCCTCAGATCAGATTTGCTCTTTTCTTTCTCATATTATTTGGAAATTCTGTTCAATCCACAGACATTTCAGAAATGGGGCTTGGAATAGGCAAGTTAACAGTGGGCACCAACAGTGGACCATGCAAAGCAACACCCCAGAGGAGACAGCAGGCAGCCTTCCTTACCTTGGAGGAAGTCATGGGGCTCTTTGAGAATCTAGCCTTCCATTATTCAAATAGTTTTAACAACTACAGAGGTTATTATTTGGTTTCATTTTTAGATTTAAATTAACTTTCTTTTCTTTATAATGAAAGTCATCAGGATTACATGGATTCTGAACCTAACATGTAAGGGAAGAAAGGGACATTATAGTTTACCCAACCTGTATTATTCTCAGATTATTCCCTGTGATTCTTTCTCTACCTCCAAGCCATACCTTAAACATTTAACTCAACATCAGTTTGGATTCTTAATCTAAAAGATAAACTTCAACTCATAGATGTTTTGAATAATAATAATGGGAATTTGGGAAAAGACTCTAAACCTAATCTCAAAGTATATTTTCAAACTCAAATGGGAGTGTGGTATACATATACACCTGTGTGTGTGTGTATAACATGTTTATAATATTTTCACATCTCTATCTATCAATGAAAATGGTTAGTATGCTTGATCAGATCCTTTATAAATACAGTTGTAATTATTGTAATCAATTAGCTCTGACCACGTCATGAACCCACTCCCCCATTCCTACTCAAAACCTGGCAATGCCTCCTCATAATTATTAGGATAAATAAAGTCTTGGCATGACTTCCATATCTTACTCTGTCTCATCTAACAGTACACATCATCCTTTTGATAACTCCCAGAAACCAGAGGCTTCTCCTCCAGATTCAGACCAAAAAAGTGATTTTGCCACTAAAGATTCTCCTGTCATGTGCTTCCTACACCCAGAATGTCCTTTCTAGAATTTTTCATTCCCTTCGTCCCCCCAGAACGTCCCTCCCAGAATTCTTCATTCCCTTTGTCCCCCCAGCATGTCCTTCCTAGAACTCTTCATCCCCTTCGGCCCCTCCTACTTAACCTCTAGATCTTGTTTTAATTTTCACTCAGGGGTCTCTTCTCTGGAAATTCAATCTACCAATAATCTCCCCTGGAAAGCTCTTCTTTTTTGTGCCCCCATTTCTAGGTGCATGTTTATTTGTGTTACTGATTGTTTAATATCCTTCTTCACCCCTGGATGGGAAATTTGTGTTTGTCTTTCTCACCTCTGAAGCCTCAGCTCCTAAACCAGTGCCTGTTTTAGAATAAAATTAGAATTTTTGCAAAGTTACAAGTAAAAATATGTAAGCTTTCATATTGCTCATTCATTCCAAACAGCGTTTACTAATTTTATCAGAAATATTTTGCAATGAAGTAGATAAGCGGGTAGACAAAGTTCCGGCATTAAACATCTTATCTGTGATCCATGTACAAAGAATTCATCGTAGTATGAGAAGCAGCAAAAGCTCATCACAATTAAAAGAGGAGAAAAGATGCAGCCCAAGTTTCTCCAAATCAAGCTGGTAGTTTGGGTAGAGACAAGACAACTACTAAGGAGTGTGGTGCTGAAAATGTACAAGTAGAGAGAGCATGTGACGGGAAGTTAATCTTAACAGGAACAGGGTCTGGAGTGCTCAGTAGGAACAAACTATACAGAACAAGCACACAAGGTAACTGGGAGCAGCGCTGCCTCTTTCATTTCTTAGACTCTGAATGTTCTCAAGCAAATGTCCCTACAATGCTTTTCAAACAGCACAAAGACCCAAACAGGGGAGACAAACTGTTTTCAGCCAATAGAAATGTTGGTGTTACCTTGGAGATAAAGATCCTTTGCAATCAAACCCATGTCCTAAAAACCTCTGACAATCACCCTCTGGTCCACGGCACTTAGACCAGAGAATAAGAGCTTTCCAATGGGCTACACTGGCAAGCTGCTTGAAACAATAACAGAAACTCTTGAGTCACAGAGATAATGGAGATATTGGACACATGTGGTAAATGCCCTTAGAATGAGCAGAAAGCCACATGCCCCGGATTTCTTGAATTTGCCTATGTATTTCTGTGTACAGATTCCGATGAGAAGAATTGTTTCCCTCATGTATCATTTGTCATACACCCACACAAAGCAATAGCAGAAACTGTTCTTTCCCCCAGTGCATTTACCATTTCGGGGGAAACAAAACACATATAATTTCTAACTATTTACCAGCAAGTGAGACTCACAACTGACAAAACACGTAGGAAAAGCACCAGTAATCCAAATTGCTGCTCCCACTCCTTCCTGCCCTGCCCCGTCTCCCGGATTTCTAGTGAGCTTTTTATAACATTCTAATCCTTTCCCTAAAGTCCAGCTGGATCCAGAACTTTTCAAAACACAGGGAGCCAGACCTTCACTAAATTATTTCTTTTGCATCATATGTTCATTGCCATGAATGTGGTGAAAGCCGGCTCTAGACACAGAGCTAAATTGAAGGAACCGGGTGAAAGATGTGGCCCCTAATTCTGGGACCCAATCCATTGGGATGAACAGATGACTTAATATTTAATTTCAAAATAACCAATACATGCAACAGTGGAAGCATATATGCAAGCTACTAAAAGAAAAATATCTTTTTATTTAATAAATTGATTTTAATATTGCAGCTATCCAGATGAATTGTTACTGTGTTCTAGCTAATGACCTCTGCTTGAGCCATGACAGTGTTATCGCAGATAAACCACGATGGCCTCTGTGCTTGCTTGGTGTCCTCCCCAGAGGGCTGGCTCCATGACAGCCCTGCCGGTCTTCATCTCTTTATGTACTCAGTGTCTAGCCAGGGCTCTGCGATACAGCAGGAGCTTTAAAATATATACACTGAATGGCTGATTACAATGATTCAAAGCTGGAGATGTTGCGGAGTCCTTACTGTGCCTTATGATGCCATGCGTTAACTGTCTTTCAACTTCTTTTCCTATCCTTCTCCTCCTCATTGAGTCTCTTCCAGCCACGCAGGCCTCCTTCTCATGCCTAATCGCCGAGCATATTTCAATCTCAGGGCCTGAGTTCTTGCTCTGTCCTCTGTCTGGAATATTCTGCCCCCAGGATCTGGATGGCTACTCCATCACTTCATTTCAATTCTGCTCCAAGGGTTTTGTCTGACCACGTTATCTAAAAATAGTCATTCCTCTGCCTCTCCTCCTCCCTACCACTCACTCTCTCCTTCTCCCTCATAGCAGCCATCACGAACTGCCATCATAGTGCATATTTATGTCTGCTTGCTTGTTGTCTGCCTCCCTATCCTCCATGATATCAGGGCCTTGTTTCCCCCAGGGGCCCACAGCAGTGCCTGTCATCTAGGAGTTGCTCAAAAAATAGCTGCTGAATTGCAAAATGCACGAGAAGCCACAAGAAGCAGTATTTGGGAGGTGTTTCCTTTGTTGTCCATGTCTTTGCCAACTCAGATCTCTACAGCAAATCCGTTCACAGAAGCTGGAATGGAATGCGTGGACGGGTTTAAAATAATAAAAAGTAAGAAAGGAATCTAGAATGAGTCAAACCAAAACCACTTGGATGGTAACCGTTTTTCCTGCCCCTTTGTCCGCAGAAACCGGTATAGTTTTGCTGAGCCAAGAGACACATGTAAAATTCTGAACACATCACAGATCTCCCGGTTCCTGCTCGCTCTCCAGTTTCTGTTCCAATTGAACAATTACAGCCTCTAAAAATATGCCGATCATCTGGATGCAAATGCAATATTTTATTGGTAGGAAAGAAATCACTCAATTACATAGATCCTACCCAAATTTTGCTATGATTATGGCTTTTTGAAAGGAATCATGCTGTTTTGGTGAGCAATTTAACATCATGTATCAAGAACCTTGAAAAGTACATTCCCTTCTGGAAGATTGCACTCGTAGGTGTGGATCCCAAGGAGATATTCAGTCATGTATAAAAAGGTATGTACAAGGCTCTATATCACAGTGCTGTTTCTCTCAAAATAAGTTCAAAACAACGTAAATATCTGAGACAAGTGTTATGTACTTGAATTATGAGACATTATAACTATATGATGGAGTACTTGGTAAATGGATAAGCAATGTTGTGATCGTATACCTATGACATAGAAAGATGGTTAGGATTTACAAAATTATATTTTTGTATGTTGTACATTGTATATTTATTTTCTATGACTTGCAAAAGAATAGCTCTTCTTTATCATTTTTGTGTGTATGTATATTTTATGATTTTCATGTCATCCAGTTTCACTTTTAAAATAAGTAACTTTAATACTATAAAGTTGGGGACAAGATAAAGTCTGCCCCTTCAATTTATATCATGCATTCACAATGGGGTGATCTCTTCCACAATGGGGTGGAAATTGATTCTTGGGTCAGGGGCAAAATATTGAACTCTTTTACATGAAAGATACACATCCAGCACATCAACAGATATATAGTATATCAGTGGTATTATATTTCACGGGAGGGTGATTAGGAAAAAGTATATCTTAAGAGGCTCCTTATAAGTGTAACAATGAAAAAATGGTTGAGAAACCCCACTTCATTCCAATACAAACATTTTAATCTTATGTTTATGTATCTTTTTGGAGATTTTTAAATCCCTCCCATTAATTTTGCACACAGTGACTCCTCCTCACTTCCAGGAAATTCAGTTTTAAATCCAACCATTTGCACTGAGGAGAGCACCCTCCATAAATCCATGAGGAGTTTCTGAAAAGAAGTAAAGGAATGAGGGTACTAGATCACTAATGGCTAAGAGCCGCAGCATAGGAGAGCGTTAACTCCAACATCCGGTAAGACACTTTAGGCTTCTTGAAAGCAATCCTTAGAAATATTTCTGCTTTTTCTAATTGAGGTCAGACAATGGGAAGCTTTCACTAATCCCTAGACAACGTTTTTTTTTTTTTTTCTTTTCTTTTCCTTTGGCATTTGTACAATGCCTTCATTTAAACCTTCCTTAAAAGCATTCTCTCAGTGATAAATGGGCGACAGAGTTGGCAAGCCTTTTCTCTACGGACACTCATATTTCAGAAAGTCAGGATTATGATTAGAGAAGCACAATATCAAAGACAAGGCCCAAATCGGTCCCTAGAGCAAAAGCAGCTGAAATTAGAATTATCACCACAGTTTTCTCCCAGGAACAGTTTGGAATCCATCAAAAGGACAGAAGGGAATGATGCTAAAACATAAACGATGGGGGAGGGAGGGGCAGAAAAAGCCAGTCTTCACCTCCCTATATAATAAAAACAATTTCTCCAGGTTGTCCTAGGACATCCTCAAGAAGTGAATCAATTCTCAGTTGCAAAAACCAGACAAGCCAGGGCTTTCCAGTAAAATGTCACAAAGGGTACTCAGCGCCCAGATGTCCTGAATTCTTGGCCAGAAGTTGGTGGTGTCACAGTGTTGAAATAACATTTTTGTTTTCTTTACCAGTTCCTAGGAATCAGGGTAGTCTCATTAAGGAGTGGCTCTATCTGATAAGGCTTCCCACATTTATGGAAATCACAGTCATAAATTTAAAGAGAAGCTATGGTAGGAAGAGTCATGGCAGATCCAAAGATTCCTAAAACCTGGAACCTATAAATACATGACCTTACATGACAAAGGGGAAATTGCAGATGTGATTAAGGTTTGAGATAATAAGATTAGCCTGAATTATCCAGATGAGTCTAATCCAACCCCATGAATCTTTGTCCCCAGGCTGTAGTCAGAGGAAGAGCTGTGATGATGGAGGCAGGGTTAAAGAGAAGTGGCATGAGGACCTGACCAGATATTGCTGGCATTGGAGTTGGAGGAAGGGGGTCATAAACCAGGGGGTGTATGTGGCCTACAGAAGCTGGAGAAGTCAAGGAAAGGAATTCTCCCTTACAGCCTCCAGAAAGGAATAAGCAACAGAAAATCAACCCCAAGGACATGTTGATTTTAGACCAGTGAGACTCTTCTCAGTAGAATTATCAGGCAGTAAAGTTGTGTTTTAACCACATCATCTATGGCACTTTGTTACATCAGCAATTGGAAAAGAGTATCAAGCCAAGGGTGGAAATCTCAATTCTCACTTTTTCACCGTCAGTGTTAGTTCTTTTTTTTTTTTTTTTAAGATTTTTTATTTATTTGACAGAGAGACAGTGAGAGAGGGAACACAAGCAGGGGGAGTGGGAGAGGGAGAAGCCAGCTTCCTGCGGAGCAGGGAGCCCAATGCGAGGCTCGATCCCAGGACCCTGGGATCATGACCTGAGCCGAAGGCAGACGCTTAACGACTGAGCCAC